TCTCTCTCTCTCTCTCTCTCTCTCTCTCTTTCTCTCTCTCTCTTCTTCTTCGTCGTGGTCTTCTTGCAGGTGCGCGGCGGCTTCTTCAACCTCAGGTCCGCTATGGCGGACTTCTACCTTCGGCGGCCACCTCTGCTATGGCGCGTCAGCCCCTGCACACGACGGCGCGCATGGAATAGCGGGTACCAGCTCTGATACCAATGCAATCAGACTCGTTCTCAAACACACTTTTCATGCATGTAAACAGCAACGCAGCAAACTGGTGACATGCGCCCACACAAAACCCAGAGATATGGCTTCCATATACGAGTTCACTCCCAACTGGCTATGGCGACTTCAGCGCCCAAACAACTCACTGTTCACACACACCTGATCACCCTGGATATCCCACATGCATCACTCTGAACACTCGAACACCCACACACACACTTCCTACTAATACAGCTATGGCAGCTATAGCTGCCTCTACCCTATCGCTATGCTAACTCCTCCTCTCTCGCCCACTGCGTCCTCCGGGCTCATCTGCAGACCTCCTTGCACAAGTCGCTGTGGCAGCGCTTCCGCATGGCTCGCGCAGGAATGAATGAATGGCTGGGCGCTGCCTCTTAATTTATACTTCAGAAACTCGTTGGTCTGCCCTTTGCCATCGTCCCATGGTGCTCAGTCCCCCGTGGTACTTGCTGGACCGGACTGGGACTGACTGGACCTTACCGCTGACTGACTGTGGACTCACTGCTATCCTACCGACGTCGTACTGCTATTGCACTGCAGTTTAGTACACCACTTGCCGCGCTACTTGACCACTTGCCCACTTGCCTACCTTCTAGAAGGACTACAGCTAAGCTTCTGGAACTCACTAAGACTTCTACGCGATAGGTCTACAGATCGAACCCCTGCTACCTATGGACCTACGACAGACCTACCAACTGTCTATGAATACATAGGTCGCAGGTTCAACTCTTGCGGTCTACACAGATACTGTACACGGGTAGGGTGAAGTCTAGGGATCGAGCCCTGGGTACTGCGTCTGCTACTGCTAAAGGTGAAAACCGTTTCACATTCATCAGCGGGTTGATATCTATATGGGCTGGCATTGTTGACAAGTATCTTCACCATCTGGGTTCATTGCAACTGGACGAGCACGAACCTGGCCTCAAAGGGCCCTGCCTCCTGGTGTACCCAGCCCAAGGCGCAGCCTTGGGGACTGCAAGTCCGAAACGATGCCTGAACAGACAAAAATAAGACAGCAAACAAAATAAATAAATAACTGAATGCTGTCGTAAATCAAATCCTGCCCCTAGGGGCCGCCGTGGGCCTCCAGGGAGCGCGTCAAAAGAGCGTGCGGCCTGGGGGCCCCTTAGCAACCGTCGGGCCCCTGAAATGCGGCCCGTGTGCAGGCGCAGCATGTAACACAGGCTGTCTGCCTATGTGCAGAATGTCTACGTACGAGTGTGTACTACTGTAACAGCTGTCAGACTGAACTTAACTCTTCAACTAACCTTACCCTGTGTTTTCATGCTGGAGCGGACGAGGCAGAAAGGCGATGCTGGAGTGTATAATCACTCTGGCTCTTTTTGTGTGCACATTATGTCCTACTCGAGATTAAAGCCTCATATGATGTGCATTTCTTGTTCTGCATGAAGTATGTTCTCCCATCCTACCGTTCTGCTCTACCTCCTCACGGTCTGCCTGGAGGTACATTGTATATTTAAGTGACTCGGTCATGTGCACTGGTAAGCCTAAGCAAGATGCTGAGGATTCTGGAGGTCAGGTGTGGGCCTGCAAACACTCTGCAATGTCTGAGTGAGATGTGGGAATGCAAAGGAAGCCGGCCATTATTGGAAATATCAAAGTTGTTATTGCCACTATCTTCATGGTGCAGAGCCGCTAACAGTCTGTTATTGCCAAAGCATTGAGCCATATCTTGCTTGCTCACAGTTAATTTTGATGTTTGTTTTAAAATTCAAATGCAGGTCCTTGGTATACTATGTGTGTTGGTCTGGGTCGGCCTAGTAGGCTTCGTTATGTTCTACCTGTTGAAAACAACCGGGAAGCTGCGAGTGAGCCGGCAAGAAGAAGAGGTAAGAAAAAACGACCTGCCAATCAGCTCAGGAGCAACTCGGATAATGCCCTGTGTTTTCTGTTCTTGAATCTTGAGTTAAATTCATTATGTGTCCATCCTTGCAAGTGCATGTTGTGTGGGCAATTGCGCATGTATGGCACGCGAGCGCACTGGATCCCTGCGGCGCATGCTGGAACAGGCACCCAGACAAAGAAGGGGTTGCAGTCATGGATAAGTGATCGCCTGTGCAATGAACCTCTTAGTTCAACACCATTGAGCGCACACCATCACCACATGCATGTATGAGATCACACGAGATTCACACTGAGGAACCAGAGAGATTAAGACCAGGTATCGCAGCTTATGGAATTCAAACAAGTTATTACAAGAGCAATAAGAGTTCCGAGTCACCAGCGCACATTAGCGCATGTCACAGGTAACCAATAACCAGCATGAACTCTCAGGTAAGTAACTCTTCCTCTCTGCTCTTCTCTCTTGTGTAACTCCTCTCTTTTCTGGTCTTCTCTCTTGCTATATCTTCTCTCCCTACCTGCGTGCACACTCACTAACTTCTACTCAAGGAACTACTCTGAATACACCCACCGTCAACTCTACTAACCCCTCTGGAGTCTACTACTAACAACTAGCACTAACACTTCTGCACTGGTGCAGCTATGACTGCCATCTCCCTGCCAGCGCTCTCTCTCTCTCTCTCTCTCTCTCTCTCTCTCTCTCTCTCTCTCTCTCTCTCTCTCTCTCTCTCTCTCTCTCTCTCTCTCTCTCTCTCTCTCTCTCTTAGCGCAGCACTCTGCCCCTCACATCAGCCCACAAGTGCACCGACACTTCCACACTACTTGTGAATGAGCAATCTGCCCGAATGTGAGGCTGGCCAGTCCTTTTGTTGTCTTGGTTTGCACTTCAACTCGTGCCAGCCTCTGTTTCTTGAGTCCTGACTGGTTCCGGTACCACATCCCCACGGCCTGTCTGCTTCTGAATGTCAAGGCCTGGAACCTTCCCGATTTTCCATTGGACTGCTGCTGCTTGGGCTTTTGAGTCATGACTTTTCACTTGTGAACATGACTTTTGACTGTGGACAGTGACTCCTGCCTGTGAGTCACGATTTTTGCCTGTGATACTGCTTTTACTCGTGGGATGTGACTCTTCAATATGACTTTTCATTAGGAAACGTGACTACTGCCTTGGAGACATGACTCTTGCTTGTGAATCTGCCTTTTCACTTGTGGGATGTGACTCCTCTGAGTGGCTTTTTATTATGAGACGTGAGTCACGTGACTCTTGTCCCTGAGATATGACTGTTTGCTGGGTGCCTGTTGGACCAGACTGCTGAGGTACCCGATTGTGACTTTTCTGAGTTTGACGAACTCGGCCTTTTCTTGACCTGGGCATCTGACCCTGAGATCCGAATTTGGGGTCTGAATCGTGGAAGGCCTTTCACCTGCGCCCCCTTCAAAAAATTGTTTTGTTTTTCTTTGTTCTTTTTTTTTGCGTTGAAATCATCAGCTCATGATGGGACGCACATCCTGTCCCTGGCTGGATGTAGGTCTCCTTGTCCTGATGGCTCCAGTCTTTTCTT